TGTTCTGGGTCACCTCGAGTGCCGTGGGGGGACAGAAAGAGATCCTGCCGTCAGCAGTGTCGCCTGGCGCTCGTTACCGTGTGTCTCCTTTGACGAGACAGAAGAGTTCTCGCAGCTCAGGGCTGTTTTTTCCAGTTGTCAGGTATCATGGGTCTGTGCTTCATTGGAGCAGCAACTGGTGCTGACTCAGTAGCACACTGAGGGCCTGCAGGTGTGGGGAGCTGGTAATCAGCCTCCCGTACAAACCAGGTGGGAATGTTTTATGCTGCTGCTGCCTTTAAATCATATGAAGTTTCATGCTTTTGATTCCCAGCGAGCTCATTTTGCTGAATAGCATTTGTAACTGTGGTTGCCCTTGGTGAGAAAGCCGGTAGGAAGATGCCAGCAGTGCTAAAGGTGTAGAACGTGTCCAGTCTGAACGTCGTCCACGTGTGTGCAGATGTGCAGCTGGCTGTGTAGAAAACACGTCTGAAAAACTAGCGTCCCAGATACTGATGTTAAAGCTGCAAATGGCATTTTCCAGCTATTCTTGTCTTTGGGATTGCAGCGGGGTTTTTTTTTTTGTTGTTCACTTTGTTTTCATTGTTAGGAATCTGTGTACGTGAACATGTTATTGATTGTAGGTGCACATGTGTGTGCAAACCCGTGTGTGTGCATAGGCAGACATGAGAATTTAATATTGGTACTCTGTAACCTGCGTTGGGGGCATACTTATTCTTGTTTGAGGGTAATTTATTTAATTAATGTCCCTTGGAGATAGTGTTAAATTGGTTCCCCCTAAATAAATAATTTCTTCATGCAGATAAATTTTCACAGAGCAGTTTAAAACTAATCGTGGCTATAGAGCTCATCAGGTGAAAATTTTTTAGTGGCCTTGTCTAGAGGGTATAATACTTTTTTTTTCCTCTTTGGTAACATTTTATTGGGATGTCTGGAAATGCCTTCTGCAATTGTTATTTCTGGTGACTAATGTTTAGCAGACTGCTCTGCATTATCTATTAATAAACCTGCTGAAAGTTAAGAATTTCCAAACTAGATAAAGGAGAGCTGGATTACCTTTAAGTTCCATAGTTATTTCTCATTTCTAAATTTCCTAAAATCAGCCTTTCGGTTCATACTGGACTAGGGGGAGGGAGGGTTGGTATCGCTAAGCTGATATCTTCTGTTTAAATTACCTGACACGGGCATGTTCAGTTTATTTGAACTTAATTCTTCGAATCTTGCGTGCTTTTACTACTGTGTGCAGTCTGTTAATATTAACTTCCCTCTGTAAGGAATCTGATACCCTCGTATTGAACTTCTGTAATGCAACATCAGAGATCTTGTAGGAATGGCTAGCCAGTGCTTTAAAGTGGAACTCTGCACTTATTTTAATTAGCTAGTTACTGGTACTGGTTGTTACCAAAAAAAGTGGTAAAGTATTAGGATTTTTTTCTTTGTGTATATCTGTTAAGACACTGGAAGGAGTGAAATCCATGTTAGAAAATTGGAAGTGGGTATTTAAGTTGTAAAAACAGTGTAAGACACTGGAAGGAGTGAAATCCACGTTAGAAAATCGGAAGTGGGTATTTAAGTTGTAAAAACAGTTGGCTTTTGTGCTCAACTCTATTTCAGAAACAATTTTTCTGTTAAAAACAGAACTGTCGAGTAGATATCAACATTTTGTTCAGTTAGTGCTTCCCAGGAGTTACCTGTCTTGGCAGATGCTGTAGTTAGCTTTTTTTCCTCCCCACTTCGCAGTATGTTGCATAAAACATTAGTTTATTTGGAGGGATGAGGATTTTTTGCGGTTAGGTTAATACAGTAAGGAACATGACGAGAAATAAATGGGGATGTCCAGAACAGCCTGGGGTTTCTTAAGCACGTGGAGACTGTGGTGGATATTCAGGCAGGGTTTTCTAGTGACACTGTTGGCAGTAAGCGTGGCCAGCTGGAAAACCTTCACCTTGGTATCGTCCTAGGAGAAAAGATTGCAAATACATGTTCTGGATTAATTTACTGAACTTCCTGTGTACCACATTCCTTACTGATATTGTCTGGAGTTCTTGCTGTCAGAGCTGGAATGCTTCTATGCCTGTCCTTTCCACCCTGATGTGTAACTGTAACTCTGCTTCTGTTAGTGTTAAAGCGAGAACATTGATTAGTTAATAGGTGGAGGGAGTTGATTGTCATCTACATTCTTAAATGCAGTTTTACTATTATGCAGCATTCATCTAGAAGAGAGAATATTTGTGATGAAAACCCCGTTGTTTTTCTCAAAGTAATGCTACTGTCCTACACAATGTTTTCTTTATTAAACCAAAAATGGACTGTGTTCTTTTGAGGTGAATAACATCTGATGGATTCTTTCTGGAGATGGTTGCTTCTCATCTTACCTGTAAAAGGTCCATTCACACTGAGCAACAGTGCCACAGAGCTGAAGATTGTCTCTAACAGAGTTAGAGTTAGATAATAGTTTCTTAACTCTTTATAATTAAATTGAGCTTGCCATAGTGCTTGCAGGTTCTATTGTAGTCTGAGTGCTGCTGTGTCTTGTCTATGATGCATACTTCTGCTTGAAACAACTTTGGGGAAAGATAACAGCAAAATACCATCGGTGTTTTAACTGTCTGAGATTTTAACATTTGTACAGGACTGAACTGGGTGAACTGGGTGTAATTACTCGGAGCTGTTTATTAATACTGTAGTTAAATAATGTTCATTGTTACCACACAGCATTAAACTTCATTAATACTGGGCTTGGGTTTAGAAATACAGTGGTGTGTGTAAATTTCATATGCATTCTGGAGAAAAGAGCTGTATTTTCCCCCTCAAGTTCTTTGAATAATTTTGTTTCTAAATTAAAAATTGCTTAAATGCTGCAGGTATTGTGAGAAAGCAAACTGACTTGTCATCTTTTTTGCTGTAACAGGGTGGAAGAAGGAATCTGTCTACGGCATCCACTACAAGTTTGTCATCTAGCGTCTGACCCTGCTGGAAGGCCATCATGCAGCAGCCTCCACAGACTGTTCCAGCAGGAGCGGCAGCTCCACCTCCTGCAGGCATTGCTCGGAACATGTACTGGAGAAACAGCTCACTCAGTAAACGAGCAAATGCAGCAGCTGCCCCAGTGCAGCCTGTGACAGACCCTTTTGCATTTGGCAGACAGACTCCACAGGGTCCCCCTTTAGATAATCCATCCAAGGGCAATGCGTTGGTTATGCAAAGTTCTTCCCCAGCGGTGTTCCCACAGCCGGCTGTTATGCATACTTCACCATCACGTGCAGGGGACAATCCTCATGGACCGCATATGTCTTTATCAGCTCCTGTATCTCAACCAGGAATAAATATCAGTACGTTTTCTAATGTTCCGATTCCTTCACCGTCCCCAGGATATGTTACAAGTAGTTCTACAGAAGTGCATCCAAATGCAGATCTTGGGCTCCGTGGGCCTGCAGTACCGTTGCATTACAATACAGGAGCAGAAAATTCTTTCAGTGTGCATCCTGGAATGGTGTCTGCGTCAAACCAACCAGGAGGTAGACAAGATGTTAGCAGAGATCCAAATGATGTTCCTCCAGGACCCAACGCAACAGCACTCTTCCCTCCACCTCCCCAGCAGCCTGTGTCTCAGTGGAGGCCTGTTCAAGGTAACCTGCAGTCTCCAGTTCGAAATTTTGTGCCCTATCCTGAGCCGTCTTCTCAGAGTGACGTTCATAACATTTCTCAGTCTTCTGTTAGCACTTCTCATCCTCCTCCACAGGCAAATTTACAGCAGGGTCCTGTACACCAAGGTATTCCACAAAATATCGTGCAAGCGCCTTTATCTGTTGGTTGTGAAAAGAATGGGAAAAATAGCTCTGCAAATAGCATTCATCACATGAACAGCATCCAGCCTGGAAATGTGTTTAGGCAGAACGCAGAAACGACTAATGCTTGGTTAAGTCAACCGTATCAGGAACAGTTTTACCCACAGCCACCGTTGCAAGACTCCAGTTTTGTTGTTCCCACAGCTCAGGAAAATAACCCCCAAAACCAGTCTCCACTTATGTCTGAAACATCAAACAGACCTATTCCCGCAGATCAAGATCCAGGAACTCTCTCCATGTTTTTCAAAGGGGATGAGGCAGAAAATGAAGAAATACTCTCATCTGAAAAAAATTACATAGTTGAGAAAACAGAGTTTGGTGCTTGTCAGCCAAGTTCAGCGTCCTTCTATCACCAGCCAGTGCACCCTCAGCGGGCTGCAAATAATGTTCTCTCTCAAGCGCAGATTGGTACAGGTTCGGTCAACGAGATGGTACAAAAAGGAATGGATACCCCATACTTTCCTAAAATTGTAAGTCAGCAGGAGACACAGGCCGCTAAGCACTCCATGTTTGTTAGCGATGACAAGGCACGTCTAGGTGATGCATCTGGGAGTGGTGGGTCACAGTTTGAAAATGTTGAGAACCTGGAGTGCATTCAGAATCAAGAAGTGCTGCCAGTTGAACCACAGAACATCAGTGCTTCATCCCCTGGTGCTGGTCCTGATCTGTACAGATATGGATCCTTTCCAGGTCAGATGCTTCCCAAGAATGCTGTTGTGAGCCATGCTGAAGGAGGACCAAATTTGGAAGCACCTGATTCATTACCTCATCCAGTCCGACCAGATAGTGTGTCTTCAAATTATAGCAACATGAGCCACAGGAGTGCTTCTAGCTCAGCAAGACCTCAAGAGCAAGTTGGTACGTTTAAAAAAGGTAGACCTGATGAAGAATCTTCCCTTAGCTTCTTTAAACAGATCGACTCCTCGCCTTTGGGAGGTGATTCAAGTGAGCTAAACCTGGGCAAGAACTACCACGGTAATCTATCACAGCCTCCAACTCCGAGTCCTCCTAAGCCTACAGGAGTATTTCAGACAAGTGCAAATAGTTCTTTTGAACCTGTAAGGTCGCATGGAGTTGGTATAAAACCTGCAGAGATTGACCAAGCAAAGATGGTGGTTGAATTAAGAGAGAACCACTCAAACCAAAAGAATATCAAGAAGAATACAGCTGTGCCAGCTGCATCCCCAGGCAATCTTGAACAGCCACCAGATAACCTGGAGACTATTTTCATGCCTCAGGTACACCCACTGCCTCTTGCAGTCGCTGGTGAAGCTGGAAATATGCTGCACTCTGGACCTGTTATGGAAAACATACAATCAGTATCTGAGAGAAGGTCCTCAACAAGAGCACAGGGAGCAGTTAAGAAGTGTGATAGCCCAGCAACAACTTTGTGGGCTCATAATGAATTACCTAATTTTGGGGGAAATGTTCTTCTAGCTCCTGCTGCTCCTGCAGTGTACGTACCTGCCAAACAAACTGTAGAAGTCATTCAGCCACCAGAAGAAGGCCTGTCTAGTCAGCAACCAAGTAAACCAGGTACTATTGCTGTGCAGCTTTCCCAAGATGGAAATATATCTTCTGAAAATCTTGAGAATCCTCCCAAAATGGGAGAAGAGGAGGCACTTCAGTCTCAGGCAAGTTCTGGTTATGCAAGTTTGTTGTCTTCTCCACCTACAGAGTCTTTCCAAAATCAGCCTATCCTGATTGCTCAGCCTAATCAAAGCTGTAATTTGTCTCAGCCAATTAATTTTTCTATTTCTCTGTCTAATCAGCTAAGCAGCAATGAAAACAATCAGTCAATGAAGGACTCTGGGGTTGGGGACAAGCCTGCAATGGTTCCCCAAACTTCACATGCTGGTGGGACCATTTCTGGGGAAAATGTGCCGTTACCTGTGATGCAAGTTGGATCTCTGTTAGTTAATGCACTTCCAAATGCTAATCTGTTAAAACATAATTTATTACAAAGCCCTGTTAATTCCTCTGATACTGCTTCTAATCAGCCTGCAAACTTGCTTATGAAAACTCCACTTAATTTGGCTCCAGAAGGACAAAAGAATGTTAATATGGAAGGTTTTGTTCCTGAATTTGCTAGCAAGCCAGGGTCTAACTCATCCATTTCTCCTGGGACGAATCTTCCCAGTGGAAGTGCAAGTGCACTAGTCCCCCCTGTTAATTCTGTAGTACAGGCTAATAATTCTGCAAATCATTCAAATAACAAAGAAGAAGCAGCTGGAGTGCTTGACTTCACAGTATCGCGGACGTTGGAGAAAAGCAGTGCAAGTAATTCTGTACAAGTGCATAATCAGTCACTTTCTGGTTGTCCAGTGTATCCTCAACAGTCAGCTGGTGGTGCTGGTCAGGGTAGTCCTGAGATGCGTGACAAACAGCATTTCTATCAACAGGTGACAAAAGATGTACAGCATCAGGCTGTATCAGACAGAGCTGTGCAGGGACCATTGCCTTCTCAAACACAAATTCCAGCAGCTCAAATGCAGCAACCAGCATCCTCTGGGCAGTCCTTGATTCCTTCAAACTACCAGATTGCCACAGGGACTAAAGCCACGCAGGCATCACAGCAGCACGAGAACCAGGTGCTGAGTAACCATCCTCAACCCGTGGGTCCCCAAGAGGCAAGTTCAGCACAGCTGACAACAAGATACGATCAGACGAGTCCTGATAAACAACAAGCATCTGGACAGCCATCGGGTGCTCCAGCTTCCACAGCTCCTGCCACCACCAGTCAGTCAGTCATGCCAAATGTGCAACAAGACCTGCAACATCCATCCCTGCCTCAGACTCCCCAAGATGCATTTGGTCCACCCCAGAACCCTTACTACTACTACAGACATCCTTACGATGCTTACCAGCCTCCCTATCCACCTTACCCTCCTGCAGACCCCAGAGCAGCAGCTCATCTTTATTACATGGTAATTTTTTTTCCTTCCTCCCCCCTCAGTATGTACTAGTAATTTTCATCTTTGAATTATGAGTTTCAACACTTGTGTCATGATCAACATTTAGTGTAGCCTTCATGTTAAGTATTTAGTTGTAGGGAAAACAAAACTTACATTACAAAGATTATAATAACTTAAAGTAGTTGCTGATACCAATTCCAGTTGGCACAGGTGTCATCTGATAGCAATTTATTTGGTTCTTTGGGAAAAGCTGTCAGTTATAACTGTCTTAGCTGCCCAGGTGTACAAATTTGGTTCCCATCTGCTGCCTGAATTATTGACAGTTTAACAGAGTGGCCAGTGCAGTAGTTGAACTGCCTTTAGTCCAGATGTAATGTTTTTTTTCTTAAGTTCAGGATATTAATGGACTTGAATACAGCTTGCCACAGCAGGTATAGAAAGCTATACTGCAGCCTATTGAACTGCATCTCTTCAGGTATCACAGTGGTGTTGTGCATGGTGATTTGCTTGTTTTAAAAGGTTTATTCTTGGAGGTGGGAAGCCTCTTACCTGACATGTCAATCTCTTTTTCTAGGAGGATAGCTATGGACAGTATGACCCACGGTACAGACACTATGATAGCACCAGCACTGCTTATATGGAGCCTGGGAGCTATCGGTATTCTGAGCCTGAACGTCCTAGTTCCAGAGCTAGTCACTGCTCGGACAGGCCGCCTTCTAGGTATGAAACTCCTAAACTGAGTAAAGCTCTGATATACCCCGAAGCAATGAGTGTAAGGATGCTTGTTGAAGTTTCATAGCATAAGCTGCAGCGAAGAAGTTCAAAAACTGGTTGTGTGCTGCCATAGGAACGGACGGTATCAAATGCCACATCTGAGAAGGGTACGATTCCGCGGCCTTGTGTGTTGCTAAAGCCTTATCACTCCTTTCATTCACTTCTCTGGGTGG